TTAATTATAATCTTTATAAAATATTATATTATTAAACTAAAAAATGAGAAATTTTAATCATTGATTTGATATTAACATTGATATTTTTTTAAAAAATTTTATGATATTTTTAAATTTATATTTTATTCCAAAATAAAATCATTATTGTTTTCTTAAAAACACATAAAATCGTATTATAACATCGACAAAGACGAAGAATAAAATAGAACATTAAAATCAAGATGTATCTCGCTGCATTGCGCGAGTACCCTTCTAGAACTCAATGATTATTCTAATTATATTTTAATTTTTTATATTTAAAATGAAATGTTTATCCTATATTTGATTAGGTTTATCTGTAGTTAGTTACATGAATTCAAATAAGAAATTATAATAAGTTGTATTTACGCACAGTTTAATTGTAATTTTCAATTTTAAGTAACATGCATCAATAAATAATACTTTACGCATAAAAAAATGTTTTTTTAAGAGTTTGTGTCAAATACTTGACTTCAGAATATAGTGTATAAAATATATACTAGAAGGGTACTCGTGCAATGCATCAAGTTACATCTCGATTGTAATGTTTCGTTTTTATTTTTTTGTTTATGTTAATATTATAATACAGTATTAAATGGTTTTGAGAAAAACAATAATGTTTTAAAATTTGTATAAAATGTAGATTTGAAGATCCAATAAAAACTGAAAAAAAAATATCGATATTAGTATCAAATTAAATATTTATAAATTCTTGTTTTTAGTATAATTTCTTTTAATTCAGTTTTTTATTATAATTTAATTGAAGTTTAATAATCAAGCACTTTATTTTCGATTTAATAATATAATTTAAAAAAAATATATAATAATTAAGTGTTTTTTTAAAATTTAATAACTATCTTAATTATATTTTGAATTTTTTATATTTAAAATAAGATATTTATCTTGTATTTAATTATTTTTATATGCAATTAATTATACAAATTCAAAAGAAAATTTAATAAATTATACCTATATATAATTTATTTGTAATCTTAAATTTTAAATAATATACATCAATTCATAAAAATTGGTTTTTAAGATTTTTTTAAATACTTTATTATATCGTATTTACATCGAGTGACGCGTGTCAAGTCAACTAAACCAGAGAGTGCCACTACTTCGGTTATAACCTCGTGTTTTCTCTTATATGCATACCAACCCCAACCGCCACCGTCACCTGAACTACCACCATGAATTCTCCGGAGCACCACCGTGACCACCACCCAAAACCCTGGTTCATCAAACTCTTATCCCTACAATCAGACATCATCTCCGACTGTCTACTTTCTCTCACATCCCCTTTCTTCTCCATCACCTCCTTCACCTCCGCCTCCCACCACAGTGCCGGAGAACCCAAAGAACCCATCGACACCACCATCTCCGCCGACCCATCGACGGTGGTGCATGGTAGCACCATCCTTCTGAGAAAAGCGGTGTTGGGTTTTGTTGGTGCTGCTTATGTGTGCTTGATTTTGTTGATGGTGATGGTGGTGGCCGTGATTGTCGGGGTGAGTTTGGTTCATATGTGGGTGGAAGAACCAGTTTATCTTCAAGAAAACTTGTATTTTGATTACACAAATGATCATCCTTTTGCAATCTTGAGTTCTGGGTTTCGAGAACCCGATAAACCACGGAAGATGGTACCGGTTGGCCATACTTGTAACATACGATTGGTTTTCGTGATGCCGGAATCCGATTATAATCGGGAGATCGGAAACTTTCAGGTATGTATGCATGTATAATATATATATATATATATATATATATGTATGCGATGGTTTATTTTACAACTTATTTCATTTGTATAACCATAGTTAGGGGGGCTCAAAAACCCGATCAACTAACCCAATATAAAATACAACCAGATGTCTAATTGAGTTGTAAAAATTTTAAATCGTAGGTGTTAGGTTGATATTGAGTTACTATTATTTGGACTCAACCCAAGCCGATCAACTCGATATCATTTTATTTCTTAGATTCAATATGATTGTTGAATTTCTATTAATATATACATTAGTCAATTACATTATCACGTATGTTCTTTATATACACATATTTTTAATCTATTCACATCTCTATATAACTCATTCGTATATATATATATATATATATATGTTTAACAGTGAACATATATATGTAAATTGAGAAAATTAACTGAATGTGATATACGTAGGAATTATGGATAAGTGGTATCAATTGATTGAAAATGAAAAAGAAATTATGAATAAAGAAATAACATATTCAAGGTTAGCATAATATTTTAATGCACCAAGGTATCAACCCGACCAATCCGTACGGTTTGGTTTGGGTTAGGTTCACTTTGGTTTGGGTTAAGATTTTTCAAACCGTAAACATTAGATTGAATTATTCAAATGTCTTTTAATCCATAAAAGCACCCCTAGTGGTCGTTACAAACTATTAATTAAAAAAACTGAATAAATAAAATAAAATAAATTGAACGGTTTAGATCAAGGTTATATTGGTAAGTTGCATTTGAAACGTGCTCTAATATAATATATATATATATATATATATATATGCACACACACATACACAAAAGAGAGGGAGAGAGAGAGGGTGTGGTTTAGAGGGAAAAAATAAAAAACCGAGGAATACTTTGATAATTTTAACAACCATTCATCTGTACAGTATGAAAGTAATTTATCTGGTATAAACGCATGCATAGAAATCAAGAAATATCTTCAATTACTTGTATGTAAATGTGCATATCAGATAAATCACTTTATGCATACAGATAGATGATTATTATGGTTATTAAGATGTTCCTCAGTTTTTTTATTTTTTACAATATGCTCGCGAATCTAACCCTATATGTATATACCATTAATTTCACTTCCATTTTCCTTTATTGGCATTCTAGTGAAGTACCAAAACTGCAACTTCAAGAACCATTGCTATGACATGGGTCCGTCCCGTGATATCTGATACTATGTCAAAACAACAGCAAAAAGTGTCGATATGACATTAACGATTTCATTAAGATCATCTCTAACCTCCAACCATGATTTCTAATACAAAAACGTGTCATATCAGCAATTTTTTGCCGTTGTGCATTTTAGTAATTCACTTGGAAATTACCATAGTGGATGATCTAAATGCACAAGCAAAATGTAGGTTTTTGCCCTTCGGAGCCAAAAGCACGATATTTTACATGAGCAACATGTAACATCGATAAACGTCCTCTAGGTAATTGCAGAGGCCTTGTCGATAGACGGGAATGTCATAACGAGGGCAAGTCGTCCATGCATGCTACGATTCTGTAGCCGACCTATCCGACTCATGCGAACGTTTCTCATGAGCGTCCCGTTATTATTGGGGATCACAAGCGAAATCCAGACGACAGACGTACCACTCCTGAAGTATAAGGAACGATACGTCCCCCGTACAGAGTCCATCAAGATCTCTTTAGTTCCGAGGGCAGGGACTCCGTTCCTTCCACAAATATACGAAGCAAGAATAATCTTTAGCTCCCAGTTACCATGGCTGAAAGAATTGGTTCGTAGATGGAAATGGACGTTCTACGTGTGGACATCGATATATGTATACATTATGCTTCTTGTAGTTCTTGTTTGTTTCTTCAGATCAATCATGTTCCCGACCATGCAACCGATCCACGACTACCAGAACGTGGACGATCAAGAGGTTTTGCCCGAAGAACCGCCACAGGGTATCCCTGCAAGAGATAGGCCGACTTCAGATACCCTCAAACGATGGAGGCAGAGTAGAAGCAAACGAAAGGCGATGCTTTTGGGCGGAGGGCTCCCGGAGGCTACTACAGGGTCGGATGCAACGAGCATGAGTGTTACAAGAGACGAAGACGCGAGTGTGGCTACTGAAGAGGTCGGGGACTCGGAATCAGTTTGTCAATGAGGGTACGTTGGATGGTGACGGTTAAGGCACGAGGGCAAATTCGTCTTTTTGAATAGCAATGGATAACATGTACATATTCGTACTATTGTGATTTCTTTCGTATCGCGTATCATTTTGTATTATGTTGTTTTATTTTGGACCTTGGCATGCCCCTTGTCTTGTATAGTAAGTAGTTTTAAATAAGTAATTAAAGAAAACTATTTATGATGACAATTAAGTTATACTTAAAAAGATTAATTACATAAATCGTCCCTATACTTTCATGAAACTAACGGATTGGTCCCTAAAACAAAAAGTTAACAAAATGTGTCCTCGTAGTTGCATTTTTGCAACGCTTGGAGTGTCTATCTTATACATATAACATCGACGTCAAGCTATCCTTGTCTTTCTCATCTTCGACCACCATCTTTGACTTTGCCACCACACCAACCGTCTCTGACCTGGTCACCACATCGACACGTAGTCTGATATTCCCCGCAATCAAGACCACAAAAGTCGTGTAATGTTCGCCCCCAACTCTAACCGTGTCTGTTTCCATCTTCATCTGTAGTTTTTTGCTATACTGTTTGTTTCTCAATATACCCTTTTTGCCTTCTACTTCATTGATTGTGATTCAAATAATGGTGGCGGTAGAACATCATATTGATTAAATCAATAAAATCCTAAAACCGATAACCTTAAAGTGCAAACAACAGTTTAGAAAAAAAACCGACCATGGAGGATGCTACAATGTACGCAACACAAATATAAACTCTCACAAAAGTCGTTTCACTATAAAATAGAAGAGTGTGGGATCATAAGACACTACATCCTTCAAACGATGCTTTAATGACGTTTTTTCTCAACCACCTGGATTTCATGAAAAAGGGTGTTCGAAACTCTTGATCACACCCCTATATACGGAAGCAAATGCTTACACAGAAACAAGCAGATGCTCGTTGAAGATGGACACGTGACATGGTTTTGATGGATATATCTTATTTTATTACATCACTCGTCTCAAAATAAATGTCTACAATGAAAAAACACAAAATTTTAGAAATGTGTAATTATTACACCTTTTAATCAACTGAATTAAATTTTACCCTTAATAATAAGAGGAATAATGAATCTATCCATCTAATAATTAAGGTGTTGTTACCAAACACTTATTCGGTAAGCGCTTACTATTAAAATTAACACTATCATTTACTTATCGGGTAAGATTTTAGTCAACAAAAGCGACATCATATGCAACATTTTACCTGATAGACGCTAACCATGGTAAGAGTCGTCGCCTTCACTTACCGGGTAAGACTCTCGATCTTTGTCTCGCTCTTATCGAGTAAGTTTTTTGGTCCTTGCCATATTCATCCGGCAAGGTAATATGAGTTGATAAGTGTTTACCCGAGTAAGTGTTTGGTAAACGGTCCCTAAGAGTGAAATTAGAAACTAGACACTTACTTTTAAAAGTGGACCCTAGGACACTTATTTTTAGACAGAGATTTTTTTAGAAAAAATATGATGAAAAGGTATGAAAAGACTAAATTGCCCTTTTAGTTAACGGAGTTAACAGAAATTTTAAAACTCCGTTAATGATATGGATGAAAGGCGTTAAAAATAGTGTCAAATCTCCCTATTTGTTTTTCACATGGATTCCCGCATAATTTTGGGTGCTTGAAAGAAAGGGATGAGCGAGGATGAGATTCCATGGAGGAAATTTGCAGAGAGATGAATGAAGAAGGAAGAAGATCCACACTCAAACATCCACCATTTTTGTATTCGTAGCAAGCTATTCCTCATCGTCTCTATTGGTGATTGGTATGTGTAAATCCATGAATATCTGTGATTTTTTATTACGATTACACAGTTTATTTATCCTTTCGTCTCACTACCTCTAATCCTCCAGACCAGTTGCAGTGGAAACTGTTCGGAATGTCTGGATCGATGTTTATCTTCGTCAATGGTGTTGCATCACCTACCTCCGCTCCTCCGGTGTCGAAATTGCTTGAATCCCACCCTGGTTTTGTGCATTCCTTTCTACTTTTCTGAATTATGTTATTTTGGATTCATTTTCATGGAGTATTAGGCGAATTTAATATCTGACAGTTTGCCATATTTAATTAAGCCGTGCAACACTATAGTATTTGCAAATGAAAAGATCGACTATGTTGTGATGTTATCATTAGATGGATTATGGCATTATGCAGAGAAAATTCAAGCTCTCTTGCTACCAGGATGAAACGTTGATGTTTCTAGTAAAATTTTGCAGTTCTTTTGGCTCGGAAACAATATTGATTCTTTTGTTCATAATACTACTTTTAAGTTGAGATCCTTCATAATACTAATTTTCGTTACATTCAAGGCATCCATCAGGACATGCTTGTTACTCTTTGCAACAATAGGAACTTGATTAACATATAGTTTGAACATTAGGCAGGGGTAAATGCTGTTAATTCGCAAGTCACTTTATGATTTTATTCTAAAGTACTAGTTCTGTCTTCACATGATATGGTCCGTTTTAGATTTAAAATTTGGTACATCTGTAACTCATATGCAATCATTTGCAATTCGACATCGATTGCAATGGATATTTGAACGACAATAGGTTTGTTTTATTGGCATTCATGCACATCTATATCCTAAGTAACATATTTTTGTCACAACTCACAAACAAGGGTACATGATGTCACATGTAACAGTGATTGATCTATATCACAAAGTCGATGTGTCACTTAAGATATATCTTTCTAAAATGAGCCAACATACTTCTTAACAATTCAAAATAACTAAAAAAGATCATGATTGGACCAACATGATTTCTAAAAACATTTCTTTACTCGTTCGTTAGTTATTAAAATATGAAGTGATGACTCGGCCACCCCTCAAAAATAGTTGTAATAATGCACTTACACACATACTTGTTTTGTTACTAATGATCGAGTTGTACATATTTCAGGTGCTTACACTACCTTTAGAACTCATAACGATGGCTTAGAATTTCTGTTCTGGGAAAGGCATTTACGCAGGCTTGCTAATTCTGCGAGGATTCTTTTCTATTCATGTCCAAAACTTTTATTTCAGTCAGGAATAAATTCGAATTCAGTAGCCCTGCACCAAATGAAGCCTCTGGAATGGGATTCATTCATTCAGTCTAGTGTTAATGATTCAATGAAAAAGGCAATACCCTGTGCATTGAAAGAGAGGAGAAATGAAACAGAATTGGCATTCACAGCTCTTGTGAGTGGAAACTTAAAGAAATTGATTCAAAACGAGAAGGTAGGTGAAGAAGACATCCATAGGGTTTTTGATATGCGTCTACATGTTAGTCTATATGCTCCTCTTGTATTTGGAGTTCGGACAAATGGTGCTCATCTGGCTGTTGTGGGCAATGGGAGGAAGACTGCAAATGCAAAGTACTCAAATTGGGTTAGGTAAATGTGCATTAGTAACTAGTAAGATTCATGCATGGTTTATGCATTACCTTACCATTTCCTTTCATGATATGGAAGATCTAAGAATATGATTATTAAGTAGGATGAGGAAACCTTTGGAGAAGTTGAGGCCTCCGTCAGCTACTGAGCTATTGCTATCAAATGATGGAGATCGGATTCTTGAGGGCTGTTTGACAAATTTTTTTGTTCTCTGTCATAAGGTATGCTAACTTCGTTAAATGCTGTGGTACTAATGTAGTTAAAATTCATATTATGTATGTAATGGTGTTGAAAGTTGAAACCATTCATATGTTGAGTGCAGCTTATTAAACACCTTGTGTGCTTGAATAAGCACTCACACTCTGTAATATATTTTTAATTCAACAGAGGCATGATAAAGTAACATTTTGCTGATAGGTTGCCTACTTACTTCTCTTGCAACACTTATGCTGAGGTAGTACAATTATATGTAAACAATGCTGTGGGCCAACTGTATGGCAATGCTTTAGAGATCACAATATTATGCTGGCTGTAAGCTGCGTCCTATTAACTTGTGTAACTTTCATCAGAATTATTTTCTAGCTTATTTTTTGTGTGTGACATGTATACTACAGGATAGTTTAGAAGAAGACAATGGATGTACAGAGAAAAAACTGGTGAAAAGTAAATATGATCATTCCATTGAATTACAAACCGCTCCCATAAGTGATGGTGTCCTTCCAGGAGTAATACGCGAAGTGGTCATTGAGTAAGTCTTTTTCTCATGGGGTCTACAGATTGTCATATATTACATATATTTCATTTCCCTGATTTTAAAAATTAAAGTTCAATGTGCAACAATTATGGAAAGATCGGAAAGAAAGAAGGGGGGAGGGTTGACTGCAACTCAGGTTTGCAAATTTTAACGATATTCATGGGTCCAAAGTATTTCCTTTTCTTCTGTTCTTGTGAGTTTTGTACTATTTGTCTCAATTAACTTTTTCAAGCTGAGGCCATTCGAGCATACTCTTTTTCAAGCCAAACATGTTTATATGGTCATAAATGATACAATAAAAAAATAATAAATTATCGAGTTGAAGCCAATAAACGAGTTAATCTCGAGTTCGAGCCCATAAACGAACTCTTAAAGCTTGAATTTTAGGTATAATGTACAACTTAAGTTTGTTAAATGAGCATCAAGCTTGATCTCGAACATTGAACAAATATTCAAGCTCGAGCACTACTTTGAAAAAGTTATTCGAGCTCGGGACTGATATTAGTTTCTCGACTGAGGTTGAACAACCTGCTACTCGACTCGGTTCATGAACATCCTACGCGTTGCATCTTCTTGATAGTATATTTGATTGACAAGTAGGACACATAGATGATAGATAAATGCTAAAGAGTCATGAACTATTATGACTCTTCTAACAATCATGAAGTTGGAGCTTAGATATCGATCATGCTTAACTTGCTGCAAATGAAGTCCATCTGAGTCGTCCAAAGGAATTTCGTTAGAATATATTCAAAATGTGTTCCATATGAACATAAAAATGGTAAATAAATGGAGGAACGATTGGAGTACCTGTTATTGTCTCCTTATGAGATGACTTGTGACTTCAATGTTTGGTTTTTTCTTGGAAGGCTTGATTCTTGGACATAAATGGCAAATTGATTAGTTAGCCGCGTTAGGTATATGTGTGAGTTCCTACTCATGTAACTTAGGACATGTTTGTTAACAGCTTAATAAGCATAATGGGACTCGCAACTTATCAGGTCAGGTTTACATGACTGTTTGATAGTGGCTTAATGATATAGAAAGTGACTATTCAGCTAGCTTCTACCGGGGAGCTTTATGCAGAAAGCCAAGTTTTTTCAAAACCTGCCCCTCCCAATTAAAAACACACTCCTTCCATCTGTGAAAAAACAAAAGCCTTCCCAATCTATACAGATAGATTAATCTACACATACAACTTTATTGATACATAACTTAATGGAAAACCAACCAAACAACCTCTTAGATTCAACACGAGAGAGCAATACTGTTTGTCACATTATTTGATTTGTGGGTTTGCATACAATATTTGAGATAGCATAGTTATGCAAATAAATTATTATATATATCATATGTACTACCTCAGAGGATTGTAAATCCTAATTGATGTTCAAATAATCTTCTGCTGCTTTAAGTTGGAGGTTTGTTTATCTATTTATTCATATGTTTGTAAGCATTTTATATTACCTGATAGTCATCTAGAATTTTGCAAGATAATTCTGCTAATCAAAACAGTAAAATCAATGCTAACTTATGGTTGTACTACCCACAATCGAAAGATTAACAAAGGGTTTTCTGGCTTTTGAGAGGCCAGAGACTCGCCATCTCACGTCCAAATTGTCTACAAAACAGAATACTTATCCCCACACCTACTCACACTTATTTAACAGACTCTTAAAGCCACTTTTCCCTTTCTACCCCTTGTAACATAATACTCCTACTTCCAAAATTGCCCTTATAAAAACTATTCCCATTTCTACCCCTTTACTAGTGAACATACTAATAGCAACTTCTAGGGTATAAACAAACTCTTTTCTAAAATGAGGATATATTACATGTCTGGTTTATGGGCTGTGTGAATATGATACTTTTGTTGTACAGAGTATGTCTGAGAATTGGAATCCCGATTCGAGAAGTTGCTCCATCATGGTCCAAGCGTCACTTGTGGGAAGAAGCATTTATTACAAGTATGTCCCTCTGTCAATGTATCCGTGGTTTAGGTAACCCGGCTATATGGATATTCATAGTGGTTCAAGTCATTTATCAATGATTTTGTTGCATCCTCATGAAACATTGCACTCCTAAATGTTACCCTTCGCGTTTGAAAATTTATGTTAAACAAATGAATTGGGCCTTCTTCATAAATTATATAGGTATGGATTCTGGTTGGAATGGAAGTTATATTGAGAAGGGTGAGAAGGTAAGAAGGGATCTCCACCCTTGGATCAACCCTAATTGAAGATCAACATTAATGAGATGCACTGGATCAGTTCTAGTATCAAGCGCAATTCATGGGGTGTTGGGTGAGGTTGAAAGTGATCAAGGGTCCAAATCCCTTTCTTACGCTTCTCACCTTAACTCCTATTCTCACACGATCATTCGTCATATATTGTATATAGCATGCCACTTTTTTGGATCAATCATTGTGGATAATAAAGTATACCTTTTACAGATAGCTTGAGGGTTTTGCAGCATGTGGAAACAATTCGAGTTCCGAGTTCATGGAACTCACTGGGTTCTAAAACCTGGAAGGACGTAATGTGGGAGGAGAAACGATTTGAGGTGTGTAGTTTTCTTATCGATGGATTTTTTTCTGATGCATCTAGATTTTCATTCTCATGACAATTCTTTTTCCGATACCAGGAGGGTCCTGGGAGCATAACCGTGTTAATCCAGGTAAAGGCTCGTTTACTTTTGGCATGTACGAATTGTTGGAGAAATAGATCGATAATTTACTTGCGAGGTATCTAGACTTGTCATTAAGCTCTTGTTTTCACCATCCTGTTGCTCAGTTTTTTCAGTAGAACATGGTAAATTTATTTCAGTTGAGACAAAAGTGTATATATAGAGGGAGAGAGGGAGGACCAAACGAGAATGCTAACTATTTAAGATAATATGAAAACTACCAAATCACGTGCAAAATCACTTGTGAATGGTCAAAAAAAGGTGTGTGGGCGACTTTGGCCGTGTCTTCAGGTCGAGGGGATAAGTCGCGTGAATCACATGTGATTTTGTACTTGATGTTAGTGTAGAATCACATCTGATTCGGCCTTTTCATATTCTCTTAAATAGACACCGTTCTCGTTTGAACCCGACTCTCTCTCTCTCTCTCTCTCTCTATATATATATATATATATATATATATACATAGAGGGAGGTTCAAAGGAGAACACTAAAAAAATGAAAAACCGAGGAACACCCTGTTAACCATTCATCTGTATGATATGCATATATGCATACAAGTAGTTCTTTCTTGGTTTCTATGCACATGTGCATGTTATGCACTTGTGCATATCGGATAAATTACTTGTATGCATATATGTACAGATAGATGAATGGTTATTAGATCTTCCTATATATATATGTATGTATAATTACTGCTTGTCATCACATAGGAGGCTGAATTATTGGCCCTCAATGATATCCCCTAATGAATTTTGGGTCCATTAAACCATTCTTGATCAAACAAAAGCAATCATCATGGAGATACAATGGTGGTTATGATATACTTATGTGCTTTAGAAGCCATTAGTGAGTTATGACCCTTTTCTCCTTTGGGTAAGTTCAGGGATCCTCTTTTCGAAAATAAGCGTCTACTTTCAAAATAGATAAGGGCAAATTGCATGAAAAAGTAAAGTACGTTAACTTGATTCCTATTTTGGGTAATATACTTTCAAAACTTTCATTTTGGTATCTAAGATGTAAAGTTTTAAACATTTAAGTACCCGGGTAACCGGTTGAATCATTAACCGGTTACCATGCTGATGTGACGAGTGATGTGGTATCCAACTCAGTATTATTTGCTGACATGTATATCTTAATCTAAAATTAGTTTTTATGTATTGTGGTTTGTTAGAAGAAAGAGTTAATGCTTCAGCTGGTTACCCGAGTACTTAAATGTTTAAAACTTCACATCTTAGGTACCAAAATGGATACATTACCCAAAATAGGAATCAAATTAAAGTACGTTACTTTTCAATGCAATTTGCCCAATAGATAACTAAATTTTCTTCTCATTTAATGTAAAAACATTGAAGAGTTGATAAAAATAGATATATTAATTAAGGGTAAATCATGTAATTAATTAAAAAATGTAATATTATTCATGTCTAGAATTGTATGTCATTTCTACTGTGGATACTTATTTTGGGACGGAGGAAGTAATCACTAAATGAACATTTCGTCCACCGTATCCCTATGCCATTTTTTGTTTATGTAAACGAAATCAGATAAATTTAGTATATCTCACACAGAGGTAGCAAATTGTTGTAACATGTAATTGTAATTGGGCAGGAGGAGGTCATGAGGAGAGCAAATCTTGAAGGCCATCCAGTTGCATCATTCCTAATGTAATTGTTATTGGTAATTTATGTCAAATAATCTGGTTAAATTTTGATGAAAATAATGTGATTTATATTGTTATAATCGTAGGTAAAGGATCGTGTGAGAAGGGAAGTTATGGTGAGAAACGAAAGAAGAGATCTGAACCCTTGATCATTTTTCTTATACTTCTCATCATAACCCAACCCTATAAACGCATAGGTATATAATTAATGTTATTTTTGTTTAAAATTTAAAATATAATTATGGATAAAACAAAATTAATTTATCCGAATATATGTTGCTATTAATAAGTAAAGGGTAAATTGCATGAAAAAGTAACGTACTTTAACTTGATTCTTATTTTAGATAACGTACTTTCAAAAATTTCATTTTGGTACCTAAGATGTAAAATTTTAAACATTTAAGTACCCGGGTAACCTGTTGAAGCATTAACCGGTTACCATGTTGATATGACAAGTGATGTGGTATCCAACTCAATATTATTGGTTATTCAACCCGATTTCATCCTATAACTCGTCACATCACCGTGGTAACCGACTAACCGGTTAATGCTTCAACCGGTTATTCGGGTACTTAAATGTTAAAACTTTACATCTTAGGTATCAAAATGGAAGTTTTAAAAGTACGTTACCCAAAATAGGAATCAAGTTAAAATACGTTATTTTTTCATGCAATTTACCATTTTAAATATTTCCCATATTTTATGGGGTTTGATTCCTCATTATAATTTTTATTTTTTAATCATGTCCTCCTTTTTTTATTGTGTTTTTCTATCGATTTTATTTTGTATTTCTTCTTCCGCCTGTGAATAATTTGTCAATCTATTGATTAAATTTTAACTGATTGATCAATTAATTATCTGATTAATGATTATAGAATCCTTTTTCTTTTTAGTTTTACTTGTATCATAACATATGTTTACATATACATCTTCAAAATAACTGTTTTAATTCAAAATTCATTGTTAAATAATCAATTGTAAAACAATTAAAGATTACAACATAATTTTACATCATTTAAGTCACTTGGGTTGTGATGTAGTGATTAAGTCTCGAGAAGATGTAATAGAAAATCTCATCTACCTCGGTTCGAATCCAGACGTTGCTGAAACTCTCGTGACCATGTACGGTTTATATGTGATGACTCCAGACCATTTGTGGTCGCTTGAAGGATTAGTCGAATAGTCGGTGTCCGTAAGCTGGTTTGGAAACTCACAGTTACAAAAAAAAAACTCTAATTATTTGGATTTATAATACATAAAAAAGAGAGTAAACTTCACTTTTGGTCCATAACATTTGTCACTTTTAATAGATATCGTCCTTAAACTTCGCAAACTTTGATTTGGTCCCTCGTGTTTGTCATTTCACAACGGTTTTAGTCCCTTCTCCTAACATATGTTAACTTTTTTGTTAAGTCCAATTAAATGAGGGATATTTTAGTCACTTTAAACATTTTTTTTTCTCTTTATTTAATTGGAAAGATGTTTAAAATGATTAAAATACTGCTTATTTAATTGGATTTAACAGAATTATTTAACGACCGTTAGGAAATTATACCGAAATCATTGTAAAATAATAAATGTGAAAAATCAAATCCGAATTTTAAAAGTTTAGAAACAATATGAAGGGCAAATGGCATGAAAAAGTGACGTATTTTTACTTAATTCTTATTTTGGATAACGTACTTTCAAGACTTCTATTTTGGATCTTAAGATGTAAAGTGTTAAATATTTAAGTACACGTGTAATTGGTTGAAGCATTAACCGGTTATCATGCTAATGAAGTAAGCGATATAGTATCCAACTTAGTATTATTTGCTAGAAAGACAAATAAAGCATTCCGATTGATATCACCAGGAGGACGTGGTTAGTGATATGAATTTTTTTAATATAAAATTAGTCTTCAACCGGTTACCCGAATACTTAAATGTTTAGAACTTTACATTTTATGTACCAAAATTAAAATTTTAAAAATAAGTTTTCAAGTTAAAAATACGTTATTTTTTCATAACAGAAATGAAATGGTCAACGTTGTTTGATAAAAGCCAAAGGTACAAGTGCCATGAGAAAGCATTTTAGGAGTATCTGCACACAGAAAAGAAGCCTTGAAACACAATGTGGAAGGACAAGAGCCCAGGAGTGAAGATTCTCTGGTTATGGACCATCGGCACCGCTGCCGGTAATTCATCTCTCCGCCGTACCTCCTCCGTCATCTCTCTCTCTCTCTCTATAACGTGATTGTATCTCTCTGTGTTCTTCAGTGCTTGTTGCTAATGTTGCTACAAGTAGAGTAAGAGACATGAACAAGCTGCTCGATGCTCAGGAAGAATCTTCGCTTCCTTCCGCTGATTCGCAATCAACCGACTCCATTATAACAGATCAGGTGATTGATTCTAGCCTAGACAAACGAATTTGATAACTCGCAATTTTTAATTTGATCTGTTCAAGAGTTTTGCGGTTTTGAATTTGTTTGATGTTTATTTGAATTTCGTGTTGGATCATATCATCTTCCTGAATTCTTTTCGTGTTAGACAGTTCATGGTGTGCGATCTTGCTCGAGAGTTATTTTGTTTATGATCCTATATGCATGTATGCTAGGTGTTTGATAAAATGTCTGAGTGACTTTTGACCCTTGGTTACCTGTATTATGATCTATCTATTAGTCTCTTGAGTAGAAGGTTACAATGATGATGGATCCTAACTCAATTGGAAACAACCAATTGATAGCATGGTTTTAAAGATCGTGTACTCCCTGACTGGTAAATTTTCTTAAACGGTGACATCATTTGACTATAAGAAACAGGAAATTTTTTCAAACGGTAGCACTATTTGATTATAAAAAACAAATGGGGAAGATATTTTCAAACGGTAGCACCATTTGACTATAAGAAACAAATGGGGAAGATATTTTCAAATGGTAGCACCATTTGACTAAGAAAATGATACTAATAGAATTCGAACTCGGGTCCGGGGTGAAAGAAAAGCCTTGCAAACCAACATTTACCGAAGAAAACTTATTCTCATTGTAGTTTTAAAATATATATATAGGGACATACAACAAATTAATACGATGACATTTTTTATAACCCTTAATTTTTTACACTACGATGAATGAACAATACAATGGCATGGGACACCGTATGCTTTGAATTGGGTTTGTCACTGCACCTCGAGGAGTACATTGAGGCGAGGCGGTCCAAAAATGCACTTGAGGTGGCGCTTCTTGGACGAGGTTTATGCCTTGGTTAAGTGAGGCGGTTCTGTGAGGCATAAGGCCTCAAATGATCTACTTTGGCAATGTGTTTTTTTGGACTTCTTTTATAAACTTTATGATAGTAGTAGTACTTCAGATTGTTCTTTTAAGAAAAACTAAAAGTTAAAGCCCAATCTCCCCAATCAACGCAAACCGTATCGACTCAACTAGAGGTGATCATTTGCGGGTCTAGGCTGGACCCAAGTCGGGCCTAACTTGTTATTTTTTGTTCAATGGGCCTAATATTGTAAACTGAAGCCCTTTTTTTCGAGCTTGACAACTTGCCATTGCCCGCCCCATAAATGGGTCGGGCTAGTTGGGCTAACGAGCCTAAGAAGTGTAACTCTTATAAATCTATAAATTTGATCATTAGCAATTAATTAACAAATGTTGAACACATGGATCTCAACAAGTGAAGAAAGAAATGAAAAATAAAATTCAGACTTCCATAAAATCAATAATGCATTTCCATGGCTCCATCGTGCTATTGACAATTTCAAACATCCCAAGAAAAACTAAAGAGTCCTAACTCCCATCCATAACTTTAATAATTTAATTCTTAAAATATACTGGTATAATTTTAATTAATGGTATAAACTATTAATTATGAAAATATAAACGGGTCGGACTGCCTTGTCCATATTTATTTTTACATTGCTCATGTTCGCCCGTTCATTTTAACGAACAAACCCGGGTTCGTCCAATTTTTCGATAATGGTTGTCCAAGCCCGTATTTCTAGCGGATCGGATGGATCGGGTCTAACGGGTTGTCCCGTCCATGAACAACTCTAGACTCAACCACGTAAATATTTGATTTTTGAGCAAAAAGTTGATCACTGGAAACTTGGATCGATCCCACACGGAACCCGTCTCTAAGAACCAAAGACATTTCAAAGCCGTCTAAAGGATTCATATCATATTAAGAGGTGGACCAACGATTCCTTTAGTTCAAATCTTTATTTTATGGTCTATTTTAATTCGCTTCTCTTTTATTCCTTACATATCATATTACAAAGCTGGACCCAGAAAGAAATATTCAAACGGTACCAGTATTTGACCATAAAAAAAATATAATTTTTTGGACAAATTGTATGAAAAAGTAATGTACTTTTAACTTGATTCCTATTTTGGGTAACATACTCTCAAAACTTCCATTTTGATATCTAAGATGTAAAGTTTTAAATATTTAAGTACCCGGGTAACTAATTGAAGCATTAACTGTTTATCATGCTGATGTGGTGTCCGGTTAAGACTTTAGCAAATAATACTAAGTTGGATACCAATCTGTTTTCGTGAGACCCGTGAGATCACTTTTTTACACTTGAAACTTCATAGCAAAACGCCATGAAGGTAAAAAAAACCGAACATTCACAGCAAAAACATTGTGACAACGTTTTACTGTGAAGTTTCAAGTATAAAAAAATGGTCTCACGGCTCTCACGAAAACATGTTGGTCTCACGTGATCCCAAGTCTCTCTCTCTCTATATATATATATATACACACACACATACACAAACATAAACAAACAAAAACATATGTAACCGAACATTCACGAGCATAAATGAACGAATGAGATCAATGATCATGTTCATTCATTTAACTAAACGGAAAAAAATGTATTAATGTTTGTTCATTTATTAAATAAACCAACCTCCCACCAAACGGTTGGCTAAACGTTCGATTCATTTACACCCCACACAAAATAATATTACTCATTGTTCTGTAGTTTTCTACCACACACACTTTCCATTTTGGTCCAAAAACTTCAAAACATTTATATATAAAATATCATATATTTTGGATGTGTTTATACCCAAGAAATAAATAACAACAATGGTCAAGTGTGCATCAATCTTCTTTGCCATTTTTCCCATCTTCACCTTTCAAGAACTTCATGAACCAATAAGCCGACGACTTGAGGTGACGAGCGAGACCGTTCTTGTAATCAACATAAACCAAACCGAAGCGCTTCGTATAACCTTGTTGCCACTCGAAATTATCCACCAACGACCATGCAAAGTATCCCCTAACATCGACTCCATCCCTGCATGACAAGATTATGTACATGTGTAAAATACGTAAATACCATCTTCTTATCATATTGTTGTATTCATGAATCGTATTCGTGTCTCTAGGGTTAACCAGAGCAAATGACCAACGTAAGTAACCAAACTAAATGAGCCCAATTGATCTCTACCCTAAAGAAGTGCGGTATGGGTTAGGGCAAGTTTGTTAGTAGCTTAATAAGCTTAATGAGACTCACAACTTATTCGGTCAGTTATACATGACACCTTGGTAGTGGCTTAATGATACAAAAAGTGACTTATTAGTAAGCTTCTAGGTGGGGCTTTAACCTTTATGCAGAAAGTCAAGTTTTTCCTAAATCTGTCTCTCCCAATTAAAAACACGTTTTTTCCATCAATGAAAAACCTTTACAGACAAATTAATACACACGGACAGCTTTATCGATAAAGGACTTGATACATACAAGAAATTGAAGTTGTTTTTTGGTTTTTATGAAACGTGTGAATGTTATGCGCATGCAAGTAATTGAAGTTGTTTTTTTGGTTATTATGAAATATGTGAATGTTATGCACATATGCATACTGGACAAATTGCTTACAAATTACTTGTATGCACATGTACATACCGTCCAGATGAAACATTTCCAGGGCGTTCCTTAGTTTTCATTTTTTTGCGATTTTCCCTGAACCTAACTCTAAACCAATGCAAGAAGTTGTGAACACTTGAGTACATTTTGGGAGACTTCTAAACCATTCGACTCGTTTTCTTTTTATCTAAGATTTTAGCAGTTCGACTCGTTAGAAACGAAATATAACGCAAATTGACCCACTTTTACCAGCAAAAAACAAAATATCGAAACTCACTTGATAGCCATAGAAACAGATGCAAGATATCCCTTGAAGTATGCAACTCTCAATTTGTCATCCAGCATCTCATGTAGGGGAGAAGTATCATTGTCTTCATCATCCATACCTGTAGATGGTCGATATCGAATTCAAGAAATCCATCCGCAAGAAATCGGGTCAATTCAAAGCCTCGATCCACAAAAAGAATTACGAAAATTGATATAGAATTACTGAAGACGTACCGTTTTCAGTAACATGTATAGGCGGATTATTGTATCTCTGAGCAACGTAGTTAAGAAGTTTCTTTAGACCCCATGGAACAACATAGAGCCATGATGATGCCGCCTGCCACGAGCTATAACTTATAAATTTGAACAAACTGATAGGACTGGACAAGACAGAACAAAAAATTGCCCCATTTGGTGCGACATTAGACTGAGACAAGACAGAACAAAAACTGGTTGTCCCATTTGATGCGACAATATACTGGGACAGGGCATGACATGAAAAAGTGGGACAAAAAAGCATCAAAATGAGGGGAACAAAAATCAGGGAGATGAACACAATATTAGTAAATTACTATACCACCCATGTCAAATTAAGACTAGAAAACCTTTTACAATTCTTTGAAACGCCTACATCACTCTTGCCCATCTAGTCGAGTCCTCTCTGCGCCAATATTAGTAAACTACTACTACCCATGTCAAATTAGTAAGAGTAAATTACAATTTTTGTGCCTATTGTTTGTTGGGAATTTTTATTTTCTTCCTTGGGGGTTTAGAAATTGCGATTTCAGTCCCTATAGGTTGCAATTTATTGATATTTTCATCCATGAACTGAATCCTACCTTAAGTACAAGGGATCAAAACAGTAAAGAATTTAAACCACAGGGACGAAAATCGCAATTTCTAAACCACAGGGATGAAAATTGCAACTGTCAACAAACCACAGGGACCAAAAAAGTAATTTACTCTAAAACTTGAAAAACCCTCTACAATTCTTTCACAAGCCTACATCACTCTTGCCCATCCAGTGTGGTCCACGTACCAAACGGACCCTAAATTACATGTTATGTATGATCAGCGAATATAGTAGAGTACCTTTTCGCCAATCGCTCCGTTTTCCCATTCAGCTGATAAACAAAAAGATGGGGGAATTAAACCTCCAATATTTATACAGTTTATGTGTGTAAATATATATATATATATATATATATATATATACATACAAGTGTTTAGCAGGCAATGGAAGTACCATACCTATTCTTGTCACCTCTTGTATTGCATAATAATGGTTATCTCCTTCGTTTGTTTTATGTGACACAAACCTTGATGTATAGTGATTCAGGCCAACGAAATCGACTGAATTTCTTAGAATGTCTTTATCTTTATCGGAGAATACAGGAAGCAAATCTCCAAGCCTCTCCTTCATAGATTTAGGATAATCTCCAAGAAATATTGGATCCAAGTACCTAAATCATGAATCCACATTATAGAAAATTTATCAAAATAGTTTGAGTAAATTATGACTTTCATCCCAGTGGTTTAAAAATTGCGATTTTCATCGCCGTAGTTTTTACAATTTATTGCTATTTTCATCCCTGAAATAAATTCCTAGCTTAAAGTACAAGGGACCAAAACAGTAAAGAATTGTAAACCATAGGGACTGAAACAACAATAAATTGTACACTATAAGGACGGAAATCGCAATTTTTACAAACCACAGAGGCAAAAAACATAATTTACTCAGAATTTGGCATGATGATTTGCACCTGGGAATTCCCTGTGAAAACGGGTAGCGGTTTCGGGATCCAGGGATCCCAGACATGTCGAAAATCGGGGACAGGTCCAGGCAATGTATTCCCCAACCCGCTCCATCCACTTATGTATATATATTAATTAAAAGAAGTTACATATTGTATTATTTTTTCAACCAATTTTGACTTCTTTTTGTTAAACCGGGGATAAACTAGGGATGGATAGGGGATAGACCCAACAAAAAACGGGGAGGGATTCGATTCCCCGTACCCGCTGGGGACCGGAAATGGGGATGAGGTAGTGGAACCAGGGCCGGAGCCGGGGGGTTGCACTCCCCCCCCCCCCATCTTGGGGTTCCACGTAATCTTACATGGTATCAGAGTCAAGGTCTACCACTCTAGGACTCGACACTTTGTAGAAATCTATACTTGTCTAGCCCCCTTATCCGTCTAAACCCTTCTCGAGACTTTGGGACAATTTGTGCCCGTCTAGCCTTCGTTGGAGGGCGTGTTGGAGTCCGACATCTGCTAGACTTAGACCATTTCGCATCTATATAGGTTGGAATCTCCCTTCTCTCATCAAGGGCTCTTTTAGAGATGAATCTGGGGTTTCCACGTATTCTTACACCACCTTATTTTGAAATTAAGTAACGAAATTCTTCTCCTTGAAACTCTTGCTTCTATCAAGATAATAAGCAATAAACTACAGATGATAATGCTACTGTTTCTTCCCTTTCCCTTCTTCCGTTTCCTTTCTAGGCGTGTGGGTGTGGGTCGCTATCAGGGGTAGAACAGTCGGATGCAATGGTATTAGCTTCTTTCATTAACTCTGTAATTGAGCTGACATCAAAGATACCATAGGGTCTGTTTGTTAGCAGTTTAATGAGCTTAATGGGACTCACAGCTTATTCTGTCAACTATACATGACTATTTGGTAGTCGCTTAATGATATAAAAAGTGGCTTATTCAATAAGCTTCTAGGGGAGAACTTTATGCAGTAGGCCAAGTTTTTTACAAACATGACCCTCCCAATTAAAAACACACTTCTTCTGTCTATTGAAAAACCCTTCCAAACAAAAACTTTCTCGATATCCACACAGACAGTTTTATCCATGCAGAACTTAATGGAAAACCAACTAAACAGCCACATAGTATGGCAATGGACTACAGCACAGAAATAAAGTATCAGTAAACTTACCATCCAAGCTGAAAGTCGATGCGCCTTGCTGCAGCAGTTATATCTTCTATGTTATCCGTTAAGGCCTCGGCCCATTCACAATCCACAACCAAGCCTATTTCTCCGCCTTGCAGATCCTATGGCAGAAATAACACCACAAACACCCTACAATATTAGCACATTCAAGCCTACAAGCTGATTAAAAGCCATGGATGCTGCACTAAAAAACATGTACCTGGGTATATGGAAACTCAAAGTAAGCATATATGTAAGTTCGCAGTAAAGTTGGTTGATATCCACAAAACCAGGTCAAATCTCATCACAGATCAGGGAAGAGGCAAAATGCAACAAAATTTGTTTTATATCCTATTTAGTGTAACAAAGGATTCTCTCTCAATTGATGTAAACAATTTTCAAATTTTCTATTTTGCACCCATTTTCACCAGTAACCTATTGATCTTGTAACATTTAATGACATGGATACCTGTTTATGAAATGGTTATGACGAAGTGGATGATAAACTTGGCATCCACATCATCAAATGTTACAAGATCAGCAGGTTACCGGTCAAATGGGTAAAAAATAGAAAATTTGAAACTTCGCTACATTCATTGAAACCCATAACATTTTGAAACCTATTGATCTTGTAACAGTTGATGACATGGATACCTGTGTATGAAATGGTTACGACGAAGTGGACAATAAACTTGACATCCACTTCATCAAATTTTACAAGATCAGCAAGTACCAGTCAAATGGGCAAAAGAAAAGGAAATTTTCAAACTTTGCTACATTCATTAAGAAAGAATATTTGTTATACTAAATAGGAATTAAGGCAAGCTTCATTGCATCAGAAGTGACAACAGTACAAAGGCAACAACTAGCAGAGCAGAAGATTAGACCATATGATAGCAAGCAGGATAGAAGACGAAATGGCAAGCAGGAGACTACACATCCAACAGAACTAGTGTACACAAGCAAATTTCATGGGTTTGTTGATGCTTCTTTAACTGACCTCCAAGCATCAGATGAAAATTAAAAAAAAAATCGGATTTTTTTCAGCAGTTAACTAATCAACTTCATTAAATTGAACAATGATTTTATAAAATATTAGTTACAAATATTTGTATGAACTAACTGTATGACCAATAAAGATTACGAACATTTGACGCTTACCTTAAATTTTCTTCTATATATTGAAACAGCTTCTGCATGGGCCAAAAGCTGGTGATGAGCAGCCAAATAAGGTTCTGGTGACAAATGTTCACATCTTCCAGGTGCGAATACGCCAGTAAAGTATCCATTTACTGCTGTCTGAAGGGGTTCATTGAGTGTAATCCACTTCTTCACTCGATCACCAAAATTCGCAAAGCAAGTTTCTGCATAGATCGCAAAATAGTTTCTGCATGTTTGCCATATGCATAACTCTTAAAAATAATAATAAGTAAATGAAAGTAAGAGAGTCCTCTAATTAAAGTGCCTAAAAAACTGCAGAGTGAACTTTTAAAATTAATAGTATGGCTTTCATCTTTAGCTACCACACAAGATTCCCAAGCTATTCTTCTGTTTGTTCTATTAGGGTGCATTTGGTATGAAGACTGCATGGGATCGGACAAAAAAAATAGTCCTATGTTTGGCATGCCATGGGGCAACAATAAGGTTGGACAACATGGGACAAAATCTAATTTTCATGGGACAAAACTTAAGTTTTTTGTCCCACCAATATAGGTGGAAGAACTTGGACAAAACACATGATTGGGTTGGGTTCCAGTGAGAAGGAGAGTTAAGGTGAGAAGCGTAAAAACGAATCTCCACCCTTGGATGCACATTCGGATGAGATGCACCGAGATGCACCGGATCAATCCCCGTATCAAGCACAATTCATGGGTGGGTTTGAGATTAACGGTGATCAAGTGTCCAGATCCCTTCTTACGCTTCTCAGCTTAACTCCCCTTATCACACGACCTTCACCACACATGATTACCTATTATATGATAAAAAGATAGTAAACACTATTTTAAGGGTAATCTGGTCATTTTAATAGTTGTGTCCGATCATGTTCTAGTTGTACCAAACGCATGACAGACAATTAGTACTGTTCCGTCCTGTCCACTCTGCTAACCAAACGCTACCTTAACATGTCTCTTGAAACCCAAGCTAAGCCTATATAACCAAGAATATATCTGTATGAGAATAACAACAATGGTTAAGAACATAAGATATTGAATTTGAAATTTTTGAAGAGGATTTGGTTAGTGTTTTATGTTTATCAATTCAATCCCACGGGCGGATATGCTAGATATTAAGGTTTCTTCTCAACTAATAAAATGCGTTCCAAGGATCCCTAAACATGTAAATGCTACCAGAGCTTTAATTCACCACGTGAGAATTTCACTTCAGTAATGACACCTAGCAGCTGGCACAAATGCTGTTCCATCTAATTAACCTCATATAACAAAACTGAAAATATTTCACATGTATATTATGCATAAGACCTTACAATATTAGGAAACAATATTCAAGTAAATCAATCCCTTGATTAATGCCCCCTATTCAAGGTGGAGCATAGACATCATATGCATCCATCTTGTTACATATATAAGTTATCCGAGGACCCTGATGGCAGTTAGCTTCTATATACTTTGTCCTCTCGTGAAAGACCGGATTGGAAGAGAGACGCAAAGCTGACAGATTATCACACACAAGCTCCATAGAACCAACTTCACATAAATGTAAATGCTTTAGCCACAAACTGTGTTGTTAAAATTGCGATATATTGGCGATATATCGTATATCGGTCTCTGGAAAAATATCGATGGTGAAATATCAGTCAAAATATTGGTTCCGATAATATCGACGATATTTACCAATATTTTGATGGAAAAATCGGTCCAATATACCGATTTTTCTATAAAACAAATGTTTGGGCTTTTTTTTATTACATGTTGGGCTTAGTTTTTTGGGCCTCTTTATTTGGTCAACCAGTCAACACATATATTAGGTCTCACGCTTCTTCTCTTCTCGGTTCTTCACAATTCACGCTTCTTCTCTTCTCGGTTCTTTCATAGTGCACGCTTATTTTTGAACACTTTTCCTATTTTGTTTTGTGAAACTTGTTTATGTGATGTTTTAATTTTGAAACTATATTTCTAAACTCTAATTAATGCATATTATATGTTTATGGATGCATACATATAATATATATATATATATATAAAAAACTCTAAGAAATATTATATTGCCTGCTATTTTGGACCGATATATCATCGATATAACCGAAATATCGAATATCGGTCCTGACCGATGTTTTGTATTCTGACCGCAGTAACAGCATAGGCCACAAACGTTCAAATGTTACATGAGCTATAGCCCGATGCCTAGGCCTCCATGCTTGATAGAGCGAGCTAATTTACTTATCGAAACCAAATTAAAGGGACAATTTTGAACAATTAAGACACAACTCAAGGATGTTGAGGAAGTGAACAAGACTCGTCCAATGCCTTTCAGTTGTATATTATGCATAAGACCTTACAATATATAGCCATTTGGTACCTATATTTTAAGAAGCAATATTCAAGTAAATCAATCCCTTGATTCATGATATTTGCATAATCTCAGCACATTCATTTTCTATTTCCATTTCATTTTCTTTCATTCCAATTAACACATTCATTTTCTATTTCCATTTCATTTTCTTTCATTCCAATTNCACATTCATTTTCTATTTCCATTTCATTTTCTTTCATTCCAATTAACACATTCATTTTCTATTTCCATTTCATTTTCTTTCATTCCAATTTGTTGCAATTTGACCTAGATCAGACTTAATGTTTGGAAGGAGCATTTTTCTAATTGGAAGGGGCATGTTTGTAAGAAACTTGGCTTTCTGCATAAAGCTCCCCTCTAGAAACTCACTAAATAAGTCACTTTCTATATCGCTAAGTCACTACCAAACGGTCATGTATAGTTGACCGAATAAGCTGTGAACCCCATAAGCTCATTAAGCTGCAACAAACAGGCTCCAAATGACACCCACACATGCTGCTAATAACCTTTCATATTTAGTCTGTCCACGATATATTTTCAATTTTCAGCCACTCTTTAGTTTGTAATACATTCTGCTTTATAACTCGATCTATGTTCGCCTGTCAAGTTGGACTTGAGATGTGTCATAGGATATAGACTGTTGGTTCTATTGTGTTTATTCGTTCGGGCACATGAGCCCGTTGAATATGCTATAAATTCAGGGTTCTCCCTGGCAACAATGTACATATTCTATGAACTTAATATTCACAAAGATAATCAAAATTTAAGGACAGGAACAAAGACGAAACCTTACACTATTGAGTCACTTAACCACCCTTCCATTGACTCGTCAAGATGCAATGGAAGATCCCAATGGTATAATGTGACACACGGCTCAATTCCTGCAGTGACATACTTGCAAGTTACTTGTAGAAACTAGTCCTAAGAAAGGAAACGGATAAAAACAAATTAATTCATACCCCTTTCAAGAAGGTAGTTTATAAGGTTATTATAATACATGATCCCATCGTTGTTGACTTGGATTCCTAGCCCATCTGTGAAGAAGGAGAAATTCATTTTAAATGGATCCACTTTCATCATCAACACAACTACAGTGACGAATTATATAAAAGCTACACCATACATTAAATGTATCTCGTCATAGATCTTGATAAATAGAGTAGTTAGTATTAAGAGAATTCTATTGAAATAATATATTTGCCAAAAGCAATTGACCATTTGAACTATGACGGTTGGCATAAACATTTTCTTTGAGAAAGTAAAACAATAATGGGAAAGGATTTCTCCAGTCTTAAGCATGCTTTTCAAATGGTGGCAGATACTTTATGAGTGTACTCTAAATCATACAGAAGCTTTAAATTTCAGTTTAAGTTTATTCCTTCACAGACAAGAAGAAAATGCTAAGTATCTGAAATGTTTGAAAAGAGCCTTTATGGTCTCAGGCTGTATGGATCACGTGGGTTTGAGCCACATAAGCACCCCACAGATGCATGTGGCACCTTCTAGATTGCGTACAAAGCATCACCAAGAAAAGCAACTTTAATTCTCTAGGAAATTTTAGAGTTCTCTGGAATACTTGAAAGTTCTCTTGTAACATGTAGGTTCCTCTAGAACTCTTCCGATATTAGATGGAATCTTCTATACTTTTGTAGTAGAACCTAGAAACATCACGTAAAGAATGTTCCAAGACCTAGAGAGTTTGTGTACCTAGAATTATCTTTGAGAGGTGTAGACCCCTATAGTAGGGGAGAGCTCCCTCATTTGTGAACTATCCAAGAAAAAAAGAAATAAAGCCTTTCAAAAGTTCCTCTACGGTCTCTTAGCCTCTTGTGTTTGTTCTCTATCCAAGTCCTTTCTCAAATGTTTTAGGTTCATGATTGGTTATGCATTAATTTGTAGGAAACTGATTCTTAGAGATGTTTGTCTACTTCCTACAATAGCTCATATAACTCGTATGAGTTCCCAATTATTCAAAGAATAGATCATCAGAAAGTGAATTGCTTTCTGTCTTCTTGTCCAGTTTAATTTCATGGTATCGAAATAAGGGGCTTTTTGGTTGGTTTTTTATTAAGTCATGTATGGATAAAGTTGTCTGTGTGGATTAATCTGTCCGTACAGACTAAGAAGGTTTCTTTGGGAGGGTTTTTTCATATATAGAAGGAGTGTGTTTTTAATTGGAAAGGATAAGTTTGGAAAAAAACTTGGCTTTTCTGCATAAGCTCCCTCCTAGAAGCTTACTCAATAAGCCACTTTCTATATCATTAAGCCACTACCAAACATGACTGCTTGGGTTCTTTATCTGAAAACTGAAATTGTTTGGTATTGGCGGGCCATGTTTCCACATTGTTTGGGATTTTGATCTATAAATCCAATGTTCTCTATTTGGTAATTTCTAGAAGTTCAAGTAGTATTTCTTGGAGTAGCATACAACATTCTGTTAATTAAGTAATTTGGCCATCTGATGAGTGTCTATTTATGACCCTATAGCACCACTTTCTCCATCTTTTCTCCTTAATTTTATTTTCCCAAAATCCAATATCTGAGTCTTTCATTCTATTATTTTATACTTCTCTTGTTTATGGAGCTATGAATAGAATTTGAGCATTTTATGGACTTCATTACCAATTGGGCTAAATTAAGATTTTTAGCAGCAGTCCTACATGAGCTGTTGGGAGTTGTGAGCACCATCCAGACTAGATTTGTGTTTTGATCTAAGAAGATTTATTTTCTTGTTTAGTGGGCTTAGTTCTGAGAAGTATCCGGTTATCAGGAAAAGTTAAAGGGACCACTTTTATTGGAATAGAGGGGATCATATTTACAATGTTTTCCCTTCCTAAATTAAATTACTTTACCCCACATAAGAAGAAACCTAAATCTATGACTCAACCACTTAAGTTGGTTACTATGGTAACAACATGCATAATTGGAGAAAAGTGGAAGGCGGCCTCTTACCTGGATAGATACGTGACCAGGAGATAGAAAACCGATAAGCACTGAATCCCATTTTGACAATAAGGTCAACGTCTTCCTGTATTTCAGCATTGCAAACGTGGATAAGCTAATGTACACAAAAAGCAATCAATAGATAACCACATCTTGCAAAATGAAATACTATGGTTATTGACCGCTTTGTCGATTCCGTGTTGATTGATAGACAAAACCAGGTTGGGGTAGTTATGCGTAGATGCAAGAGTAGAATCGACAGTGAACAGTCTTGAATTAAAGGGCCATAGACCAAGCATGCATAGAATAGAAATGAAGTGCAACCAAGTGTACGTATATCAAGATGTTGTGAGCATAGATGTGAAATCTGGAAGATGTGCCTAAGACATAACTTTCTTCATATAAGGTGGCGAGCATCAAGAATGCTATTTTACTGTAAAATCTTTCACAACAGCTGAATTATAAGTTTTGATGTGAAAGTTGGGAGTCATGCTACAATTTACAGTCTCTATCAATATATAGAGAGAGAGGGAGATTTAGGGGGAAAACCCCAAAAAATTAAAAGACTGAGAAACACCCTGGTAACCATTCATCTGGACGTGCATACCAGACAAATTGCTTACAAATTACTTTATATGTATATGTGCATACCCAGACGAATGGTTATAAGGATGTTCCTCAGTTTTTTTATTTTTTTGCGGTTTTTCCCTGAACCTGACCCCATATATATATATATATATATATATATATATATATATATATATATATATATATATATAGCATTTGCATTCGCATAAACAAAAACTCAATAGAGGTATAAGTTATAAACAGACTTTTTATTTTCGTCTTGCTTGGAAGAAAATATTGAGTTTTATCCCGTGAAGTTTGTTTGGTGGAACGCTAGCAAGGTTAAAGAACACTGAACACCACCTTCATTCATTGATTCAATGTATCAAACTTCTTTCTAAATGCTCAAGAATGCATGTGAGGAGATGATAAAATATCGGTCAATTTTGAAAATATAGAGTATGTAAATGGAAGGCAGTTCACAAATTGGCAATGTTAAACAACAAATTGACAATGTTAAACAAAATGAAGACCTTGTAACGATGGTACTGATCTACTGCTACAACTCCGTCTTTCCCATCTTTTATCTTGCCTGGCAGACCAAGAGGAAAGAAAAACAGAATAGACTTCCTTAGCAGTTGCCATCATGGTGCATCAAAGAATATATTTAACAAATAAAGAACAGCAAACCTTCTGTGGATGCAAATTTATCCCAAATACAAGGACCCCTGCCACCCAGATTGGCAGCTCCTTCAACCTGCAATGCAGCAACGAACAGAGAAACATGCTAAGATACTATATGAACTTATAGGGCATCCCGGTGCTTCCAAGCTATTAAAACTTGCATCAAGCATCTTCTCCAAACTTATAAAATAGTTCAATGAAGATCTTCGAGCTTCAGAAGGTTATCCAAAAAAGCTGGAAGAACCAGAAAAGAAGGAAGGTACAAAGAGTTTTTAAATTAAAAAAAGAACATGCAATGGTACAACAATGATGTCATATATTTAACTTCTTTGGTGACAGCTATATGTGTTGTGGTTAAAATGTTATAGAAAAGACACCAACATTTAGTTATAATTAGATTAGTGAAAAAGGCACAAACACAGTAATTGTATATGTGTTGTGGTTAAAATGGTGATTTCATTTTGTTTCATAAAATATACAATTTTATCGTTGAATATATTCGTCAACAAAGAAAATATAATAACATCATTGTGCATTAGGTTACACCCTGAGCCAAGTTTATGGAGTCCAGCAGATTATCTCTTCATCACTCAAACCCCTAAGGATGATTGGTCCAGTGGTATCTGAGTTACAGTTAGAGCCCAGCCTTGTGAGGTCAAGGGTTCTAACCTCACCAAGGGTGATGATTATGTGCGAGTATTTCCCATATATAGATATTACATACTTCAAAAAACATCAAGTGTACACAATTAAACAAAATGTTTACATAATCAGTACCTCAACTCATGCTACAATCCATGAAAAGAGAAAATTACTGAATGATTGCTTTTCACCCCTCGTATATCTATGTTTGTCTGTTTCTATATGAAATACTCGTACTAATTGCTTCTGTGAGCATACATCAGTGAGAAATTAGCTCAAATGACCATTTCCCTCATTCAAATTGGCCTCCTAACCATTTCTCTCACGGTAGACCCAAATATCACTACATCCGCAATACCCATTGCAAACCTAGCTAAAAGATTAAAAAAAAAATGTCAAATTCAACTGGTTTACCGTCGCAATTGCAGACCTGGCCCGTCGCAATTGCATATTTGTGTTGAATTTTTGGTCTTTAACTAGGTCCGCAATATTACGGAAGTAGTGACATTTGGGTCAAACCCAGTAGAGAATGGTTAGAAGTCCAATTTGAATGAGTGAAATGATCGTTTAACTCAAGGACTCGTACATTATCAGTTACCTTATCTTGTCCCCCCCCCCTCTGGCCATCTCTAACTTATTTTTGCTCCATTAAAACAAGGAGCCGATGTGAAGAACCATTTTACACCAACTAAGTATCCTTTGGCCAATTTACCCAATGGTATGAACAGATCTACAACCTTCGATCACGAGTTCAATCAGACATCAACATGTCATTTTTTGGCGCAGCTTTTGAAACAATAAGCATATTCCTAAACTCAGACAAATTTCGAAATCCAAAAAAAGGCGATTCAGCATTAAGTGTTTGATTCTATCCTTCTAGGAACAATTAATAAGAACAACATATGTAAGAAACCACATGACATGAATCGAAAGGGAAAATAGACAACCTGATAAGCAGAAGTAGCGACGCCAAAGAGGAATTTGGGGGGGAAATGAGCACGAGAGAGTTGGTGATTAGTTGAATTCATGGAGTTCCATTCTTCCTCCACCGATCTCTTCCTATCTTCCTCCATTGATGAGTTGAAAGCTCACACAGCAAGAGTGATGAGTTCCTTCCGTTACTGGATCAAAAATGCAAAATGGTAATGATTGAATTTGATGTTTGACGACTTCTTCCCACCAAACCAAATAAACATGTAAAGACAGTGATTTTACAAAATTACAACTTACCCCCCTCTACTTTGTTTGGGTTGCTATTTTATGCAACTTTCAATTAAACTTTTCATTTGTGGGAAATTAAAGTCATTTCTTTTACTCACATAATATATAGTATAATTATGGGTAAATTTGAATGAAAAAATAACGTATTTTACTTGATTTTTATTTTGAATAATGTACTTTCAAAACTCTTATTTTAAAAATATAAAAGATAAATAGTTTTTACTAACAAATCTCTTCCAACCTCCAAACTATAAACCATTTGATAGAGAGCAGATTAGGATTAAGAGGTATTAAGAGATACGTTTATCATTTAAAATTTCAGAGGACCTTTAGAGTGGTCCTGAAATTTGAAATATGAAGCAGTAAGATTGTTTGTTTTTAGATCTAAAGTTTGAAATCTGAATCGGTCAAACTAGTACAAAAATATAAAAGATACATAGTTTTTTTTTAACAAAAGTATAAAAGATAAATAGATTTTGCTAACATTTATCTTCCAGCCTCCAAACTATGAACCATTTGACAAAGGGCAGATTAGGATTAATAGGTATTGAGGGATACATTTAGTACTTAAAATTTCAGAGGACATTTAGAACTTTTAAGCTCTTATTTTAGAAACAAAGTAAACGTTCTTACCATACCAAACGTCTGAACGAATCGGACTTCAGAGGTACTAAGAGGTAGTTTTGGAAAAACAAACAAACTCTAAGACATTAGATTTATCAATTACATTTGATGCTAAAAAACAAAAATGTCTGGAGGTCTCAAGTTCGAATCTAAAGAGTAATAAAAATCCTCTTGTGGCCACAGAGGTTCAAATGCGGTGACTCCGAACTACCCACGAAGAGGATGGTCGCCCTGGAATAATCAACTCGCATAGCAAGTTGGATATCCAAGTTAATCGGGAAAAAAAAAAACAAATTAAGCACAATTTGATTGTGGGAATTGATATAAGTTTGTTGGGATTTGAAATTTTGAGTTTTATTTCAATCTCATGTTTGATTTAAAGGTCTATAATTGAAATTCCATAATTTTGATATAGATTTAAAATTCCCACAAGTTGGTATTTCACGAGATTTCGTAAAATTTATTTGTAATAATATATTAAAAACATTCGTTAAATAGTCGATTAGAAAAGGTAATTGATATATAGTTGTTTAAAATTATATATAAAGAACGAAATTCAATTTCATTATAAATCCTACAAATCAATCAGATAAAAAAAATCCAAATCCTTCTACGAAGCCCAGATGTCTCAAAAGTAATCCATCAAAAAGAAAACCAGTTAGATTATGGCGCACTGGTTAAGCATCACAGGAACGTGGAGGAAAATCTCATTTACCCCAGGTTCAAATCCATGCATTGTCAAAGCCCCTTGTAGTCATGAAGGTTCACCTGCGATGACCATAAGCCGTTTGGGTCGCCCGGATGATCAGTGGGTGTGCACAAGCTGGTATGAAAACCCCACAGTTACCCAGAAAAATTCCGTCAAAACAAACACCCCAAAAGGTCTAATAAGATGGACTTAATCAAATCGAATACAAATGGAGATTAGACCGAAAGACAACTATATGTAAGGTAAGTGTTTCAACTTGATGAGCGTAAAAGAAAAGCACGAATAAGATGGCTCACCGGTATTGTAAAGCAAGCGTTCTGCCAACCGCCGAACCCTAAAAAGGAACTTTAGGGTACATTTGGTATGTAGAACATGACGATACAGTAAAAAAAAACATGTCACACGTTTGATGATACTAAAAAATAAGTGGAACATAGATCTGAAAAGATAGAACAATATCAGTAAATTACTAAGCTACCCATGTCAAATTAAAACCATAAAACCTTCCACAACTCTTTTATCTCCCAACCTCACTATAACCCGTCCGGTCTAATTATGTTCTGTCTACATACCAAACGCACCCTAGATGTCATTCTTACCCCCCAACAACTCGGCTTAGAGGATAGATACCGAGCCAAAGGTTTCACTTTCTCGAGTAGCAAAGCGAACCGACAAGTCAAGATGCCATTTCAACTCTTTCTATTTCCAAATCCCGACCAAAACCCGAGTCCAAATACACAGATATCATGATAGGGTGCTATCGTAGTTGTATGGATATGGTCAAAATCCCTAAAAAGACGAATACCGTGCAGCAGAAAAGAGACTACATAGAGATCAATCTCATAAAGTTATAAAACCGTCACACAAACCTTAAGATGAATCTAATATAATCCTATAACGCATTAAGCACGTTTTAACTAGATAACACAAACGCTCGCAGAAACCGATGATTTCTAGCTATTACTTTGCTATCATTCGTAGAACGAACGTAGAACGTGTTCCCAAGCTTGTGTACGATATATGTGCGTAGATGCTTCAAAACTTGTGTATGCATACCCCGAAACTATGGAAGTCATTCGGCCTCAAGTTCAGCTCCAAATTTCTCGAGCTGCTCAGCATCGTAATCCAGATCCCGAACCATAGAATGGTTGACGGATCCGTCGTCCTCACTAGCATGTATTTGCCGACCTCCAAACCTAAACACCAATGAATCATCAGAATAAACCAAACCAAACCAAATCAAACCAAACCAAACCAAATCAAACCAAACAAAACAAAACAAAACGAGCCCAGTGGGGACCATGTGGAGGTGGGGTGGGGGTAAAGATGTATTAGACCTAGCTTCTACCATAAACAATAAGCGGTTAGCAGTCGTTTCCTTGAAGACCCCCGACTAGTGTAAAATGTAAGAAAGGGAGAAAAACAGATACGCTAAACATTAGAAAGTTAAATATGAGTAAATTGTGAAGTCACTATAGCCTCAAGTATATCATGGAACGCCGATTGTAGATCGGTTAACACAAATTAACTTTGAAACCATCTGTTAACGATACGAAGAGGGCGGTGAAAGGCATTAGGAGTGACGTAAATTATCAAATCAAGATTAGCAAACACAGAAAAGGTCAATTATTAGATGGATTTAGAAAGAAAAGAAAAACATGTGTATCTCTATCCTAGGAAGATATAAAGATAGAAAAATTTACTAACGAAAAATATCACAACTTCTTTCCAAAATACTTCTTCCGTCCCAAAATAAACGTCCACAATAAAAATGACACACCAAAAGACAATTTTACCCTTAAGGGTAGAATGGGAAAGTAAATATTTACTTTTGAAAGTGGACACTTATTTTGGAACAAACTAAAACAGAAACATGGACACTTATTTTGGGATGGAGAGAGTAGTAAGGAACTACTCCCCTTCCCAAAATAAGTGTCAACTTTCAAAAGTAATATATGAGATGGAGAAATTCATTACTTCCTATATTATTAGGGGTAAATTTGTCGTTTAGTTAATCAATAAGTGTAATGATTACACATTCCTAAAACCGTGTGCCTTTTTCATTGTGGACATTTATCTTGGGATGGAGGGATTAGTATGTAAGAGGTCATTTGAAGGCCATAACCTCGAAATCTTAGTTATATAAATATAAATAGATCAAAAAGAGCACCAACACTAAGGGTCAGTTTACCCAATCCTTTACCTGGTAAATGTCAACACTCTTACTTACTTTACCAGGGTAAGATTCTAGTTCATCAAAACATTGTGTGTAATAATTTACCCGGTAAGTGCTAACCGAGTAAGAGTCATCACCCTCACTTACCGGGGTAATATTCTCGGTCCTTGTCATGTTTATCCGGTAATGTAAGTGGCCTGGTAAACACTTAACAGGTAAGCGTTTGATAGACGGCCCCTAAGAAACAGACCCACTCCCTCTAGATGTCGGCCAATAGCATACTCTTTTACTACTGTTAGAAGCTAAGGATTGCCATTTCACTATAAACGTAGATGGAATTGGGAATGAAAAAGTTTACCATCTTCCGTTCATCAACTCTATGCACTTTCGTGCATCTTGTCTATCCTTGAATCTTACCAACACAACCCCTTGAGGATGGTTCTCGCAAACCTGCAAAGACAACCAAAATATGATGACAAAAACACATTATTTCAATGCAAGATATAATGCACGAAATTTAAATGTCAGAAGATCATGCATTTATAAAATTTCTTCAGAAAGTTATTCACATAAATAAACCGGTCTAAATAATGGAGACGCAATGACCATAAGCATGTACTCCTACAACATGAACACTTTCTTTTTTGATGCATTTCCATCTCTCCAAGTTCTAGGACAAGCTTCTGAATATTTAGCCATCATCTCCAGAGGGACCTATGAAGCCCCGAGCGGTGCTCCGGGATAGAAAAGGTGCACCTACTAAACTTTGAGGGGTGCTCCGGGATATTAGAAAATACAAGAAACATTAACCAAAAAAATGTCCCTAGAAATCAACCAAAAAAACAATATAGTCCCTCGAAATCAACCAAAAAACTTAAAAATCCCTCGAAACGATGAATTTCGGCTTTAAAACACATTGAACGACTTTGTGGGCCTTGATCCACCTTAAAAGTGCACACACTCGGCAAAAATCCTGGGTCCACCATTGATCATCTCCAACCATGTACTCTTACAATGCCACTTTAGAGGACGCACGCCATGCCTTCCAACCTTTTCTTTTTGTAACCACCTTAAGTATCCCTAGTCCATGGGATTCACGTAAAATGTCCCTCCACATGAAACGGCACATTTTCTCCCTTCCGAAAGAAAAGCACCGCTAAAAAAACAAAGAGAAAAACCCTCCATAGAACCGATCTCAGCTCTCCATAACACTTAGGTAGGTATCAAGTCAATTGCAGTTTATCCCCCCTTGGGGATCATCACGCCTTAGAACCCAATGCACTATATCTTAGCTATTCCTCTGCACGTCGAACCAAATGAAATTTTTGTTCGAGCATAACCCACTTAGAAGAATCTTCCTATAGGAGGTATCTCAACCAAAGCAGAGATAAAGGAGGCTTCGAAAACATATGGGTGTTAAGTATTGGTGAGAAGAATTGAGGAAAATAGATCTTAAATCTTGTGGTAACTTATGCATTGTTTGTCGTAATACACTTACTCTAGCGAGATAGGATTAATACTTGGTGCAAAACGAGATTGAGTGACATGCATAAATTGTGACACAACAAGGAGTTAGGCTCAACAACTAAACATCTACTGAGACAAAGCTTAAATGAGGTTGGCCTACCCAGCCCATATGTCATAGTGTCATTTATATGTCTTAGGGCCCGATAGTTAGCAGCTTAATGAGACTCGCAGCTTATTCGGTCAGCTATACATGATTGTTTGAGTGTTTGGTAGTGGCTTAATGATATAGAAAGTGGTTTATTTAGTAAGCTAGCCAAGTTTTTCCGAAAACCTACCCCTCCCAACTATAGAACACACTCCTTCCATCTATAAACCCTTCCAAACAAAAACCTTCCCAGTCTATATAGATAGATTAATCCACACCGACTACTCTATCCATACAGGACTTAATAGAAAACCAGCCAAATAGCCTCTTAGCCCACTAATATAAGACACTTGTGGACTTGGAGTTGCCATCCTTGAAAGGATATTTATTTCTAATCATATTTCAAGGATTTTCTTTAAAAAATTTATGCAAGCCCATATGAACTAAGCTAAAAGCTCAAGCTTATACAAACAAATATAAGCCCATAGAAACCGAGCCTTATACGAGACTATACAACCCAAAATGAAGCATGTACACGTTCAGCCAACACTCAAGGTTCAGGCTAGCCAAGCTGAGCTCGAGAAGCTAGGAGCTAATCTCAAGCCTGTTTTAACGAGCCAAGCACGCTTGATGTTCAGGTTGGCTTGGTTTGGCTCAACTATGACCTCACTTAAGAATTAGGTTAACCTTAAAGCACGCAATGTAAGCATATTGTAGAACGTGGATAAGATGGCAATGGGATTTCAAATGGTATCAAAGAAGGTGATCTAATAAAGATAAAAAGTTAAATCCTCTTAGAAAGTCATGCTACCTTCACTGATTCAACTGCCCCAAGCTTTGTGCATTCCTCTTGAACATCTGCAGCTAATTCAACATTCAAATTCTCATCAGCCTGCATCATTGGGAAATTAAAGGTTACTGTCATTGTAGTTCCAGAAAGTTGGGACATTCAGCAATCCGGTCATAATAATAATTCTGATACATTAAACCTAAGAACACCTGAAATGTGTATGAATTGAAGGGTGTTATGTGTTACAAAATGTAACGAGGCATGTCATATTTTTACTAAACATTACCCTCATTTCTGCTGGAGAGAACATATATCGAAGAACAACAGTAGTTGGAATCAATAATTTCGAATCATCGCGGCCACCTAAATCATAAAAATAATTGTTATATCGTTAGTGTATGGAACCATTTGTTCAATAAAAACCATTATGATCATAGCACATTAGCACAGTAACAAATATGTCTCTCCATTTCCACACAAATAGGTAGCAGCAAAGAACCGTGTGTAAGTGACATAACTTCTAGCAACGATCTCTAAACTGTCATCACCAAACCCTGAAAATATCTCCTAAAAGAGATCGGCAGCACATACGACCAAAAGAAGCTAAGACTGTCTCCAATGAATGCACTATTTCTTGCACTATACGTATTACTTACACCAAATCCTCTCCAATGAATGCACTTTTTTAGTGTTTTGAAGAGTAAAACACCAAATTTGGTGTAACACTATTCACCAATGCTTTCTTATTTTTCTGATTTACAAAATGGTCCTTCAATTTGAATATGTATTTTTCACTTTATTTCATTGTCTAATAGCATGTTAATAAATTAAATATATATTAACTTTTAAGTTTTATTAAATAAAATTTTAATATATGCAACCAATTTTAATAAAAGTACTAATTTTTAATAATTTACAACACAATAACATATGTTACATTTTTATTAAATGGAATTATGTACTATAATTTGGTTCAAATAATATGATAATAGAGTTACTGTGAAAATATAAAATACATGAGTACAATTTGTGGAGTTAATAAATAAAGGGGTATTATTGAGTTATTGTCAGATCCTTGCTACCGTTTTAGTTTTTTTACAGCTTGATGCATGACAGTTTCATGCTGGAAATTCTTTTCTGAATTAGAAACTTGAATACATTAAAAGACCCTTTTGTTTGTTGATTGGGTGTTGGACAGTTAGGAAAATGTTTAAGATTCTTACAAATTTTTTGAGCCTTGATGGAATAAGGGAATGGTGCACGTTTCTGTAGTGAGTGTGGCTCGATTTCTGCATTTTTTTATTCTCCAATAATGTTAGGTGTTCTGCATGTTCCTTGTTTGACAAGTTGTTTCAGTTATATTTTCTATGTGTTGGCATACAACCATGTTTTGCAAGCATATTTAATGGGATAAACGTGGGCAGAGTTCTTGGCAACTAACATGTGCTACATGTCCAGTATTGTATGAGAATTGGGATCTGTTACTGTTGGTGATTGGGGATATGCCTTAAAGATCTGACCTCTGAGATTGAAGCCCTTAACTTATGCTTTATTTTTGTCACTATAGCCTTAGACCATCTCCAATGTAAAACACCTTTTTTGCACCATTTTTGTGCAAAAAATGGTGCAAACGGTAATTCCTCTTTTCACATCAAAAGAGAATATTCCACATTGAGCCCATGAATCCCAAAGGAAAGAAATACATGGAGCCATGAGTTTAAGCCTACAACCATGCAGTTTGAGTCATGCAACTTGCAGATGTAGCATAAAATGCTATAGCAGATGGAAAAAAATAAACGACCAAGAGAAACAAAACGGAATGGATTTGGTTGAAGAAGAAGCAAATGGATACCATGATCTATCATCATTTAAACGCCAAAAATATGCCAGAGGCGCTGAAAGTAGAGCCTTCAACTCAGAGACCAATAGATAAAAATGGTCATAGTAAAATAATGTTAAATGGTATGAGAAAGATGGAGTATCTAAATATGAAGTGAAAGGCAACCTGGAAAGGTATTAAATATGACACTGATAGTTAGCAAAGCATTCGAAAAGAGACCTACCCCAGCCAAGCATCTTGTGTTCGACCTTCTGAAGCTTCTTCTTTTTTCTCTTGTCAACTTGTTTTGCTATGAATTTTTCCCCTGCATGAAACAACTCAAATTAATAACAATTGAATACCCTTTTATTACTAGAACAAATTCCCCAACCATATGAGAATACAAATATCCTCCATAGTAAGCCAGATAGACAAGAATGCCCCGTGCCCATCCAGAAGCCAATTGGACGCAACCACAAAGAACAACTATGTATCTTACCTTTCTGCTCAAATTTAGCTGGTGTAACCGACATGGTAATCTTGTCGCCAGGTCGTAAAGGAGACCCGTCAAGAATTTGAAGAGCCAGAGCAACTGAAGGTTCCTGGGCGAAAATTAAAAGGCAATAAGTTTGAATTCAAAATCCTTGGTTCACATGTTAATGTGATATTACCATAACAGATTAAAACAAAAATTATAGTTTTCAAGATAAAAAGAAATACCTTCATGTATGAAACAAGAGCATCACCCTTTTTCCTTCCGGTTTCTTTGTCAACATAGATCTTCACACGAGGTTTCTTTGTTTCAGGATCCTATACGTCCAGAGTAGATAATTGGCATTATACCAGAATAAACATCATTAACATTAAAAAACAGATCTACTGGAGAACAAGAGAAAATTGTGAAAATCAGAATAAGGCATAAGTTGAAGAAGATCATCATTATTGCAAGTACCGGTGAGAGGAAAGACGAGCACTTCCAATCAGAAGTCTTATAAATAACATGCTACACGATAGCAAAATCTTGCAAGAGAGGCTCCATGGAGACCATAGCAAGTATAGTGAAGATTCCATATGAATCAGGGGAAAATAAAATGTTAAAAAATAATCATATATTATTTCGCATTGAATATGACAGAAGCAACGTGAACCATGCTCTATGTGCATGTCCAAAGCATGAAATAGATGAAGCTGGTGGTTTGGGGGTCCTGTCCCATTTCTTGTAGCACATCTAAAGTGTATCCTATTATAATAACCCGTGTTGCTAACCATCATTGTGCAGTAGTAGTTATATAGTAGCATGATAATTTTCATGATAGTCACATGATCATGATTACCAATTTTTAAACCACGCACAAACAACTTGATGTAAAGATATCTACAGAAAATAGTAAAATACAAAATAAAATAGTAAATGGATATTACAATGGTTAAAGTTCCAAACCTCCTTTATAATCCCACACTTGGAAAACACTTCCACAACCTGAACCAGATTACCATAAGATCGTCATTGCCAAAGAAGAATAAAACACCACTGTTTACACATATATGTTGTGAAAAATGAGAACTTCATCACCTGTGCAAAGAAGATAAAAGAATAGGTGACCCCAGGGTTAAGTTACTATGACATATCCCCAATAACACGGTTATAGTACAATTAAAACCTTATTAACTACCTATGTTTGCCTCCATAACAACCATGTATTCCTATAATCGCACATTCATACACATAAAGATGAAAACAAGGAAAGATATCAAGTTAAACAAAGGGGGCATGCAATGGCAGATAATTTCTGTGTCATTGGGGATATGTAAGAATTGAAGGAGTTTATTGATGTAACTCACCTCATCAAAGGTAACATCATCTGGTAACCCAGTAACATATACATGTGTATTAACTTTTAACTCAAACCAGCTGTCAGGAGGTTGGTTGACTTCCTGAAATACACCAACGAGAAGGCTTTTTTAAGATGAAAGTTTATAGGACCTAGCTTGAAGCATTCTGATAGATATTTGAACAAAAGAATATCAAATGCTACTATCAGCCTCCTGTTAGTATTAAAAATACATGAGAACAGATGAAGCATATCTGATGACATGACACTGAGTGCAAAAATGAACTGCCCAAAAACAGAGATCGTTAAACTGGTATTGAACACAAGACCCATCAGACAAGCAAACAGACACTATATCAAACTAACCTTTTTCTCAACAGGTTGCTCAGGCAACTTCCTCTTCCCATTTGCTTCTGCTGCTTCATTTGCATTATCTGTAACTTTTTCTACAAGGGGATCAACATTCGCTTTTATAGAAGTGTCAGTATCTTCTTTAACAGGGAGACTATCAGCCTCAACCGTAGGAAAGAGTTCTTCTTCTTGCTCAAATGTCATCTTCTCAACATCATACGGCTCAGTTCCAGCAATTATATCCTATCATATGTCATATATTGGGTGGATATAAAAGAAATCAAGCAATGTCCCAAAATTGATATTTGATAAACAAAAGCAAGTTATAAATTGAGCACCTGCATAAAAGCTATAAACCTTACTTGAGCATGATTTTACTATGCTGGAAGAAAGTAAAGACAACAAAGAGTATTTGGTATTTATCAAACAGAAGCAACAAAAAATATACCTTCACTGTCACATATTAAGTTTCCTCTTTATCATTATGTAGAAGATGAAATAGTACGCATCAGTATTTCGTGTAGGGAAAGGGAAATTTTATATGAGATAATGCAATCTGCAAGGAGGATACAATGTGGCGTGGTGCCCAAAATAAAACGAGAAACAACGGGATTGCAGTTGTGTCTTGACTGTCTTTCTCAAGGTTTTAAAAAGCGGAATCAGGACTCGAGGCGTTTTCCTTCGCCTCAGGCGGTCCGAGGCGTAAAACAAATAAAATTCATAAATATTAATAGTAAGCAGAACATAATTCCATACCAAACTTTAAACGTCATAGATTCATAAAATACTAGTTATAAGTCTAAAAACATATCAATCTACAGCTTATAGTTCCCCATAGCACGATCAAGTTGTATAGCTCCACAACCGTATCCATAATCACTAGCACTTTCATCTTCCAAATCCACATAAAACAGAAAAATAATACAGAAAACTGAAAATAATATAGAAAACAGAAAACAGAAAATATACAAAAATACATACATAACACGTTATATATATAGAAAATACATTATACATGATATAGAACATATATACTTGACTAAAATATATATAATATCATACAATACATCATACATAAACTAAAAATATGGACACAAACTAAAAATAACTTACTTTTTGGGTTGGCCTTTGAGATGAATATCTTCTTGAGAGAGAAAAAAGTAAGAAAATAGAGAAGAAAAAATGGGGTTTGGAGAGGTATTCTTGGTGGAGAAGAAAGGAAGAGAAGAAAATCTGAGAAGAAAGTAGGAAGGGAAGACAAAAGTAGGATTAGGAAATGGAAAGGTAACATTTGTTTTTTATTGATAAGACAAAAGTACATCTTATAAAAGGCTTCTTTGTACTTTTAAATTGTAAAAGTACAATTGAGCGTTTTGACTTACTTAAAAAAAACACAAGTAATTTCAGGCACTATTTCAACGAATCAAGGCAGCAGCAAACAGAGGCGTGAGCCTCAGAAATGCCTCATGCTTCAACGCCTCAAGGCATCGCCTCACCAGTTGAGGCTTAAGCCTCTTCCAGAGACCATGAGTCGCTGCCTCATGAGCGGTTTTGGACTGCCTCGCCTCCAGGCTCCGCCTCAAACGAATTTGAAAACCATGGTCTTTCCAACTAGTATCAAGGCGGTGTATGGTTTGCAGTCCAGATTCACTATGGCTGTGGGTTTAATAGCATGGTGGAATGCGTATGACTATCAGCAAGAAGATAAACCACGAGTTGAGAGAAACACCGTTGGATTGTAGAAGAGAATGGAAGAGGAAAATAGGAAAAGGCAGAGGAATAACCCAAGAATGAATTTTCTAAACCCCTCAGCAGCTTGGCAGGAAGAATTCTCAAATTCTTTGGTCTCATTCCCATTTTTTAAACCAATACCCATTAACCAAGCACACCTACTAAGAAAGATAACCCATTCCTTCATTCCCTTACACATTAACCAAAAGCCACCTTAACACATATTTTATAAAAGATAGATTCTACCAATAAAGAATATTGAACCACTTAAGTAAATGGTAAACCAAGCTATTATTTGCAAGCTGGAGCTGCAGAAAGTCAGAAACAACTCTGAGAAATTTATGGCAATATATCAGCCAACATATGTGCACTAACATAAAGCTAAGATGTGGCTGTTTCTTACTCTCAGTCTGTTTCCTTTTATATGAATGAGATACTTCAATAGACTCTTGTAATGCCCTATTCCACCATTAATTCACCTCCTGTATTCTTCACCTGTTTAACACACTTTTTTTTATTTTTCACACAGACATCTTGCTGAATTTTACTTCTGTCTATTAGGAAATGCATTCATAAAGCCATGTTTCCTCATTGGGGAAAATAGTGAAAGAGCTTTGAACAAGAAAAAATGCCAAAGCCAAAAGAGTCGAATTTAAATAGAAGTGTGTCGAACAATGCCATTTATAATCCTAAAACCTCATAGGGATCCCATCTAGTTTGGAATAGTACATTTTTTGTCTTGTTGTTTATATAGTAACAATGTTTAAACGCTGATATAAGACAATAAAACGAAGAATGATGGGTCAAGGTTCTCATTTCTAACCACTATTAAAGAAAACGATATAATCTACCTCCTCTAATTTGGGAGAAGTGGAAATTTCAGAAACTAGAAAACATTTACAAATATTAGCAAACAAATTGAACAGTAAAGAGCTAGGGAATAGATAAACAAACCGGCCCTTATTTTATGTGAACCATCTATCAAAATTTTACTGTTCTATGTTTGTTTCTTTTGAGCTTCAGGTGTCACCATGTAAACCAAATGAAGTGTCGTCGACTAACCTGAGGAACCCAAGCTCTAAGCTTCCTGTCCCACTTGTACACGGTCCCATCATCGTCGGTGAACTCCTCCTGGCCATCTGGGGGAGATGAAGGCCTATCATCATCATCAGCAAGTTCATGGTTTACAGCCCCAGCCTCTACCTCTACCTCTGCCTCTGCACTTCTCACCTCATTTTGCCACCTTTCAAACTCATCATCATTGACAGTCGATGAGGGCACTGCAAAATTTACCCCATAATGAGATCCACCATCACACAGGCAAGGGAAGTCAACAAACCTAGGTGCATATCAGGTACCTTGTTCAGAGTTGTCAGTGATCAACCCAGGAACAGACGACAACGGCTGCCACTCGGTCCGTCCTTCGGCCCACACAAGTGTGCTCTCTGTAATATATCCACTAGAAAAATGCTCTGTGAACATGGAAAAGAATCTTAAGTAGATGATCTAATAGCTTCTATAACATCTGAATTCGATATGCCTACCAGTAGAACTGAAAGTCAAGAACAATGGAATTAAGACGAAAAAACAAGATGGCATTCAGTGATTGGTTGGAACACATATCAATTAAACTAAGACAGAAATTGCACCTGAACACGATTGAAGCCCAGCAAACACCCCCCCCCCCCAAAAAAAAAATTGTTAAGTGTAGATACATTTCGACTTTAACCATGAAATAGTATCCTATAGAGCATCCCATATGATCTATTTTTATTTGAAGATACTGAGCAAATAATCTTGAACAATATAAAAAAGGACCGTTGATTAGAAGACTTCGATAAAGCTCTTGCACTCCACCTACCCCAAATTTTGGAAAGACAAACAGAGTGCAATAAACCCATCGGTTCTAATTTCACAACAAATGGGAGTATTAAATACACAATCATGAATTATCAATATTAACTTCGCATGAATTCAAGACGTACCCCTCAATTCAGAGGCAGCATATGGACCCACGTGCTGCTGATCTTCAGATAGTATGTACCACCCAACTTCAGTGCTCATATCAGAATTCCCAGTAAATCACCTATAACACTTCGAACAATCGATGTAGACACGTTACACACATGTATATACAGAAATAACAGGAAGAAATAAAAAGATAAACTGTAGATAAGAAAGGGAAACATTAAAATTGTGCACACCTAAAACAAACCTATCAGATTAATGTGATTATTTCTCCAATTTCTAATACATCACTCTACAGAATGATATCGTTTGAATGCATGTGGAGCTATTGCAATCAAACAGGTAAAATGAGAAGAATTCGTGAAAAAATTAGGGTTTGTCGCCGGAAATGTCAACCGACGGCATACCTTGTTAATCGACGGGCAAGCCTCGAAGCTTCTCTTCGCTCCGTTCCTCTCTTGTTGTATGTCTTTGAAATCGTTGCACTTTGGCCCTAATCAAACCCCTTTACAAAATTAAATTTAAAAATAATATAATAAATGAAAACTTAATTTAATTTAATTTAATTTATTGTATATTACTAAAAGGGTACTCGCGTAATGCAGCGAGACATATCTCGATTTTTATATTTTATTTTATTGTTTGTCTCTGTCTATGTTATAATACGATTTTATGTGTTTTTAAGAAAACAA